TTGAAATATTGTTATCGCTTTGGGCCATTTACATGGAATTTTCTGAATTTAACGTGATATTCCAACCGGTTTTTCTGAAATATTTGTATTTGGAATACAGTATATATATAAAAGTTGTTACTGTTCGACTTAAAGCCGAATTGGACTGGAAACCAGTACATCAAAGGTAAGTCATGAATGTAAAAGGTGAGGAATACGAACAGTTATCCACTTTCAAATGTTAGCGTAAAGTGGTACAATGTACAGGTAGTCGAACGTGTGTTATCATTCATAATGTGCGTATAATGTCTTTAGCAGATCAATTCACTCCTACATGAATATTCGACATGTGTTAAAATATACAGAAATAATTGAAATATTTTAAACAATATTTATTTAAGTGGTAATTTACATTTTTTTCACCTGTAATTTACTATAGGGTTATTTATATGGAGTCGTTTGCGTAAAAGTAGAAATTCCAGTTTATATTTATGATTTATAGACAATTGTTGATTTATTTTAATGAAAAATAGAAATCGTTGAGGTATATTATTAGATTTATTTTTTTCAATGTTTATTTGTATTTCGGCTAATGCGGTTTGGTGGTTAAAATGGTACAATGTACGGGTAGTCGAACATGAGTTATTTTTCATAATATACGTATTATTATTTATATCAAGTTTAGATATCTGTTTTTAAAGATAGGGTAGAATTTCTTTAAGAAAAATTATTCTTGTATTATTGAACTTAACGATATTTAAAACCATTCATATCATGCATATGTTTTTCCTTTAATTCAAATTTTAACATGTCACGTGACAAACATCTTATGTTAAAGAAATCGTTTTGGTCGAACGCAGCTGAGTTCTCATAGATACATTAATCATTTTGCATAAAGTCGACGATTATATTAAACTTCAACCACTTATATCAAGATCTAGTATTAATTAATTTTACCGGTATATTTTGAGTCATATTCTCTTTGTTCTTAGTCTAGCAGCGTAGTTTTAGTGCATCTTTTTCAATTATATATATATTTTTAAATTATTGAATAAACTTTGCATGCATTTTAGTTTCTGTTTAATTTTTTTTACGAACATCATTTGTGGCTTCAAATTGAACTTACAGATTGAACGGTAGACATATTTATATTTGTTTAATCATTTAGGACAACGCAAGGTACAATGTAATACATGAGCTATTTGAAAAAGTCGAGAAAGAGTTCAATCATAAGTAGAAGAATATTTAATTAAAGAAATGCTGAATTTCTGCTCTTGATATTTTTCAATACATATATGTACAACAATTTCACGTAAATTTATCAAGTCGATGACTATATGTAACATAGCAGAGACGTTTATTTTAGTATAAAACCAGTTGATCTCTTGTGCATCTTCCCATTTTCCTTTTAAAACACAAATTTTCCAAACTATCTGTTCTAACTTATGTAAACGAAATCATTTGAAACTCATTCATTTCTTAAATAATTGTATAAATAAACACTTAGTTTAAAACGAAAGTTAAAAAATCAATAATATTTTAAGCATAATGGTTCATTTGAAGATTACTTTGATTGTTTTCCTGTTTCTGTGTAATACGTGCTTTATTCAGAGGATCTTACTTTTAAACTTCATACATGTATCTTGAAATTTTGTCATTTTATGAAAATAAAAACTCAGAAAACAAAATAAAAAACAAGCATTCTGCATAAACAATACATGTCCCTTAGCGGGTTCCGTTTTTCTCTTTGGGATAGAAGATCGTGTGGAACCGTAATTTAGTGCATAACGAACCCATTGTGATCCAAATTATGAAAAAAAAAAAAACATAATTCCTTCAACAACCAATGAATCAGAACTCAATTCAAACTTGATCTGTAACCTATCAAGATATACTTACATACCAAAAATCAACTCAATATCTGCAAGCGTTTATAAAAATGGCAGGGAATCAAGTGAGGCAGACAGACAGATAGATGGAAGGACAGACAAATAGACGGATGGACGGACTCAGAGGCAACTTTTTTTCCCTTTGGTTTCACCCATAGGTGGGAGATTAATAAAGGAGTAAAAAGTATTTTTATTTATCTTTTTTATTCCATTTCTTCAACTTACTATAATATTCATTCTACATAGCTTGAAAGAAAAAAAAACCTAGACAAATTTGAAATGTTAATGGGTTATATTTCAGATGAAGACAAGTGGCTGGCTTCTCCTGCTGTGCTTGATCTCTCTAGGCAATCCTGGTGAATTTCAGGATTTTTCAGGATGTACGTTTTCATGCTCAGTAGAGAGATGCACTAACGAGATCTGTAAACGTTCAGGGTACGGGAGGGGATCTTGTAAACCCTGTTTACAGATGGAAAGGTGTGTTTGTTATGAACAAGAAGATCAGCGTTGATAAGACAATCCACTCAATGAATTGCTGTGTTGAAAAAAAAATAATATCAGTAGAAATAAAAATGAAAGGCATGGTATTTCATGTTGAATTTATCATACATGTTAGTACATGTACAGCGACATTAATTTGATTATATCCTTTGAGAAGTATCAATTAAGCAAAATCCTTTCATATTAAATTATACTGATTTTATTATCGATGCAATGTAGAAATAAGAAACAAACCTATATTTGAGCACTCGTTTACAACTGCAAAAAACTTTTCCAACTTTTTGTTTTTCCGATTAATTTGTATAAATTAAATATTTGACCTAAAGAATGCACAATAAGAAGTGATGTTAAAATGACGACCTCTTACAGATGATATACAGGACTCACAACTTGTAACAATTAAAACTTACATGAAACTGTCACAATGTGACAGAAAGTTTTATTTTTCAAAATTGATGTGTTCCTGTTTGGAGAGGAATGATGCCTAATCTTCCCTGCCGTGCAAGACTGTTTGAAATTAATTGATATACTCTATCTTAATCTAAATATTAAGTGTTTATTTAGTGGAATAAAGAATTTTTTTTGATTTTGTCTGCTCAAATATAAATCACTTTCCCCGGCTTTGATTGACTTTACAATGGTCTTGATTAACCTTTATATTTTAATCCAATGAAATTATCTTTAACCTCTCATATCTGCATTTAAAAAAGCAGGATTTATTCCATGGATTTTGGTTAAGCACGTTAGCTCTCCATGATAAAAATACCATCATACCTTTTGTAAACCATGTTGTTGTACCAAATATTCCCTTTCGGAGTACCATTACCTACCTCTTCAAAAGAATATGTCCATGTTTTCAGCAGGCAATATTTTCTCAACTGACATGTGGAACTATATCAGTTAAGGAATAAGAACAATCTGTTATAAATATATTTGAATATTTTAAGTAGATATGATGATAAAAAAAAGAAATTGCATTATACTTTGATCGTTGGAAGTTTACACATCCTCATATTAGTCCGCATCAAGGCTAGCCAATGGCTGTTCTTTTCTTCTTATAAACCATAAGAAGATCTACTTCTGACGAAATGTTGCAATTTCAACAGAAACCGTCTCACGGATGTACTATATATGGAGACACCACCATTTGCCGGTGGAGAGCAGCAAGTTTTGTCCTGCATTGGCACACAGGGTTACTGAGAAGTCTTATTTCTGCCAGCACCTACTGCGACATGGGTCTTCTGTTTACACGTTCTAATGTGAAGGACTGGTCTCCACGTCCCACATTGGGATTCGAACCCATGATGTAAAGATCAGCTTCTTACTTCGCTACATTAAATATTTACACAAGTACATTATTTCGTCTATTCTTAGATAGTCTTTAGATATACCGAGCTGAGCAATTTAATGTCCTTAATGTGTTTCGTAAGTTTTATATGTTCCTTTGAATGCATAAAACAGTCGAATTTTTTTTTTCATTTTCAGATAATGCATTCATTTAAAAAAAAAACATATTTGCCAAGAATCGAACTTAATCATTTTATATATATTTATATTTTTATTCCAAAACGATTATAGTTATGTTGATTCATTTTTAAAAAAAAATGTAGTTTGGTCTTTATGTACTTTATGTAGGGAAAGAATTTTGCTCGCTCTTCTTGCAGCTCCGATCACTTTTGTGAAGACACAATTGCTAAAATTAAATGAAAACATTATGAAATATTTTTCTTTTTAAATATTTCCACCCCATATTGCGTAAAGTTCATTAAGCTATTCAATTATTTTCATATGGACATCCATCTAATTAGGTATTCAATTGTACTCCTTATTTATTCAAATAAGTAATATTAAAAATGTAAACATTTAATTTCTAAGAAAAAGTTTTATCATGTGATAATTAAGAAAGAATCGTAAAATTGTTTAAGAAATATCGCTTCACCTTAAAATTTCAATGTATGCCACATGTTGGATTTAAATGAATCGAGGGGATGGAATCTAATTGGAATACAAGTCATCGATCTTTTTGCTAATTACTCTTTGTTACAGATTAAGGTTGAACTTGCTTACAGACATCAGCGTGTAAATCAGTAACATTCAAACGACAAGTGGGTCGAATCAGTTGTTAGATATGGAGAAAGTCATCACGGACAAAACACTTCGTCTGAACACCTTTAATGAACAGAAAACAATGACAAGTTAACACTAGAGTGCATTAAATTAATTATTTAAAATTGCTAGCTGAAGCTTTCGTCAGAAATATTTGAGTGTACCAAATATGAAGAATGTGAATTATATACACGAGAATGACATTTTAATAAAGTTTTTATCTAATGTACAATTTAAACTTATTGAGCAGTTAATTCACATTAGATAATATTAATTCTTATTTGTTTGTAATTTAAGTTTTATTTAAAAAATATTCTAATCAATCACGTTAAAAAAAAACAGAATGAAATAGTCTTCAATTATATGAGAATTAATCCTTTACGTAACAGTTCACGTGTATTTGTTTTCACATATAGAATTTGCTTTAGGGAAATTGATTTGGCGTTAATTTTCAGTTTTACGTAATTTTACATTGGTTGTGACAGCCAATGAAACGTTTTCTCACAAATTATATATATAAAAGCGTCAGAGGGTTTTAAATTTACAAAGTTATTTCGAAGGATATTATTTCTCAAGTAAGAAATTTGTAAAGGTAAGAAACATGATTTGATAGCTGACTCTTCCCTTAACGACTAATTCCTTTAAAACGCATAATGAAATTGATATAGATTTAATCTTTGCTAGGTTTTTTTTCTGAACTTTGAATCCTTCAATGGATGAAAGCTTTTGAATTTTACTTTTTTATTTATTAACCGTCTCGTTTTGCTATTGAACAGTGAGCGAGGTTTTTTTTTTTATATCAGCAAGTCTTGCGATATGGGTTTATCTCATCCAAACGTCTTTTTGTTAGGATTTGAACCCTAGACGTAAAGATCAATTGCTTACTCCACGGGTTTAAACATTGGTAACTCTGTGCCGAGCGGGTTTTGTATTATGAATTAGTGTATGACTGAATATTAACATACAGTCATATTTACATGAGTTAGGATAATAATTGAAATCTTAACTGTCAATCTCTGAGATATAAAGATCTGAGAAAAAGCATATTGACCGAGTATGAAAGTCTATATATCTAGGGATTGTACTGAATCAAAAGGCTAAAAGTGTTTTTTTTTTTATCAGTTTATAGGAAATGTCTTAAAATCCATGTTTCTTCTGCTCAATACTTTCTCATATAAGGCATTGTAATGTAATTTGTATTATGACGTCACAGTAATGATAAGCAGCTGCAGTATCTTTTTTTTTTTTTTTTTTTTTTTTGTTGAAAACCCAGTTTAGTGAGACTATGGTGACGTCAAAACTATTTTTGCTTCACAGAAGAACGTTTCCGATTTTTCAGAAGCTTAAAAAAGAAACATCCAGTCCATAACGCTTTTTATACTTGATCATGTGATTTAGTCTGAACCAATCAGATAGCTTGCAAACATTAGAGAAAAATTATAAAATTCATTACTGTTGACTCTCTTATGTTGACCTCAATTTACTAATTTTTATCTGCACAGAAACAAAATTGATTGTTTGATGCTTCACCTCGCTCTCAAGAATTTTTCACTTATTTGGGGAAGCCACAACTTGCCCGTCGAGAGCTAAAAATTCCTGCCTTTAATCGACACTTACAAATGTACGGTCACTGATCAGTATGGAATCTTTTTCGTGCTAGATCTGACTGCGATACGGGACATCGGTTTATACAGCCTCATTCAAAAGGATGCGGTCTCAAAGTCCCACAGTGGGATTTGAACCCGCGACGTAAGGATTGACTCCTTATTCAGCGACTCTAGAACAGATGCTCTAACTCTTCTGCATGCACCACGCGCGCAACACATACAAAGAAGATGCTGAATGTTCTAAACATCTATGAGAGGAGATTGCAATACATTTGCTGATTTATTATTCAAAAAATAATAACTCTGATTAGAGTATCTTTTTTCACAAATAATTTCATTATTCTGTTTTTTATATTTTCTAACATGAACATATTTATCCAAATATGTACAACCTTCTTTTGAACTGATTTGGCAATGATAAATCGAAGCTATTTATTTTCTTGGAATAGTTTTGTATGTAAACTTCATAATCACTTTTTGTATGATGATTTGAAAAAAAATATAATATACATAATAAGAAGTTAAAGGTATTTCAGAAAAAAAAATCAAAATTCGTAAAAAAAAAACGTTTACATATAAACAGATAAAATAATATACATGGTTGTTAAATCAATGTAATTTTAAGTTTATAAATAAAAAAAAGGCTGTTTGATCATTTTAGATGAAGACAGTTGCCTTACTTCTTCTACTGTGCCTTCTGTCCTTGGTAATTGTTGACCCTGTTGTTGCTCAGAGTGGATGTGTGAGAAGATGTCGGAACAGAGACTGCTACAGGTACTGTAGGAGACGGGGGTATCTCACAGGATCCTGTAGACGATCAATCTTCTGTCCGCGGAGACGGCCAAGAAGATGTGGTTGTCATTTTAGAAGACCGTATGGTGGATAAAACAAGGATCAACATGCAAAATGTATACATTGACTTCAAAATGAGAAATAAAATATATGTTCATATTATCAAACATGTAGTCTCCATTTACAATGTGCGTTTTCTTCTAAACTCCCTTTGGAGATTTTTGTCACTTATATGGAGACGCAACCACTTCAAAATAAAGTACTGCAAATTTATACATTCATCGCACTCATGGCTCAGATTTTGCGAACCAACAACAACTGTGAAACGGAAACTCGGTTCATATTAAAGACAAAATGATATCCACATCGAAAAATGAATTTGTTAACACGTTATGAAAGGATCAGTTCCTTATTCCTTACTCAAAAGCTAACTCCGTAACCACCATGCAACGCAGGCGCGCTTGATGTTAAGTGCGCGTTGACACTCGTAACTGACGGATGTCTTTATAACCATTTCTAGCAAAAACAATCTTTCAATGGCTTGTATTTCTACCTACAAATTACATACATGAACAATGTACATGTACCTATATTTATGCTGTTTTATTTCTGAGATTATTTTGGATAAATACATGACTGTAGGTTTTTGTTATCTAGATTGTTATCTATCCCACATGTGGCAACATATCAAAGAATAAACTTTTTTAAATACAAATTTAATATATTGGTACCAAGAGTAGGGTATTCTCACTAGAAATTCAATTGTGAAATATGAAAGAAGGCAAATGTTTTTTTTTTCATATTTACGGAAATCTTCCAGGTCAAGGTCATTTGTATCCTATGAAAGGTCTTGTCAAAAAAAAAATGCATATGTAAAGTATGCAAGCTCTAGCCCTATTTTTAAGATTATTCTGGATAAATACAAGACTGTAGGTTTTTGTTATCTAGATTCAGATTTCAGGCTATGTGTCACAAGTCAAGTAAAATGTTTACGGTTCTTTTTCTAGGTGCCTGTTCCTCTGATATTTTATGGAATACATGGTTTTGTCTGTTAAGATGTTTATTTTCAATTTTGTTTTTTATATAATAAATCACTATTTATTATATTAATTTCTTTCAAAAAGAAAAGGAGATAGAAAAACATAAAAAAGCACGATTTGTTTGTGAAACATTGATGCCCACATGTGGCAACATATCAAAGAATAAACTTTTTTAAACATGTTAAATACAAATTTAATATATTGGTACCAAAAGTAGGGTATTCTCACTAGAAATTCAATTGTGAAATACGAGGGTCGTTCAATAAGTAATGCAATACACAGTATATGATAATAAATGTTGAAGCATTTAATTTTATTTTTTCATATTGGCACAGTTCTATTTAAGATCTCCTAAACACAGAAAATCTAACGAATTTTGATACTATCTTCGCGAAGAAATCCATGTTTGAAGTAGGCATGGTCACTACATTGAGCTAAAAACTGTTTAAAATGATCTCTGCCAGGAAAATGAAAATAAGAGACTATTTGGAAATTGCACTTTTTATATAAATCGCCGCAAACATCATATTTAAGATATGATTTTTGCATGTAGATGAAAATTATCTGGAACGCTGTATACTTTTCGGATGGATTTAATAATTCAGAAGAAAAACACAAGAATTCAAATATAGCAGTCAATGTTGTCAATTGAAATTTGAGGGGATACCTAAAAATATCGATTTTATGTGCCACATGAATTTAGAAAATGCCATATTTACATGGAAAGACATTGTTAAGATACTAAACATTTAATCGTCACAGAAGTTTGTAGAATTCTGACATAGGAAAGAAATATAACAATATTTCAATGAGCTAATGCCCTATTTTCTCTCAAATGCCCAATAGAGAACATTAGTTAAATGTACCAACGGTTTATTTAAAAACAAATGTCTAAACAAAATAAAAGATATGATACCCTAGGGTAATGTATGACGAAACATGGGTGCCCTCTTTTTTATCTGTAAAATAAGATTAATGATAAAAATATAGAATCAAGAAAAGGGTGTCATTTAACAATCATAAAGAGAAGCAATGGCGCCAAACATGTTTAATTAGTTTTCGTGTAATCACAGAGGTCCATAAAAAATGTAAATACATCCAAATGAAGGACTAGCAATGGTAAGTTTTATCTTCAAATTGCACAAAGGAAATTTGAACAGATTTCCTGCAAAGGAAGTCCAAAATTCCGCGACCAGGGTATTTTTCTTGTGCCTGACAACGCAGCTGCATATACGCTTAGAAAAGTAAAGAAGATTTTGAAGAAAAGAAAGTATGCAAGCCTTTTCAATCACCCATATTTGCTTGATCGCAGCCACTGTGAGATTTTTTCATTCCCAAAATACATGAAAACAATTAAAGGGAGATTGTACAATGTTAGATATGTCATAGGAAATGATATTCGTCAGTGTCTTTGGGGCATCCTTATAGATGAGTATGCTGAGGATTTCTGTTCATGGATACAAGGACCTAAGATACGCGTACAGGGTACCAGGAAATGCCTTGAGGAATTGAAACTATTAAGAATATGTACTGCGTACTTTTCTTACTTTTAGATGACATGTTGCATTACTTAGTGAGTGACCCTCATATGAAGTAAGGCAAATGTTTTTTTTTTCATATTTACGGAAATCTTCCAGGTCAAGGTAATTGGTATCCAATGAAAGGTCTTGTCAAAAAAATGCATATGTAAAGTATGCAAGCTCTAGCCCTAACCGTTCAGAAGTTATGACCAAGGTTAAAATTTTAAAAAGTAGGTCAAACTCCAAGGTCAAAGTTCTTTTATCAAATGATAGGTCTTGTCACAAGGATTAAATATGAAAGGTATATGAAAGTATTAGCCCTAACTTTTTAAAAGGAATGGTCAATGTTTGCTTTTTAAAAGTAGGTCAAACTCCAAGGTCAATGTCTAAGGATCAAAGTTGTTGGTATCCAATGAAAGGTATATTTACAAGAATTACATGTGTGAAGAATGAAAACCCTAAACCTTACCGTTCAAAATTTATGGCTTAAGTTTTTTCACATGTATGGAAATCTCCATGGTCAAGGTCAAAAGGTCAAGTTTATTGTTATCCAATGAAAAATGTTTTAAGAAAAAAATACATATGAGAAGTATAAATGTTCTGATATCTACTGTTTAAAAGATATGGCCAAAGTAAAAGTTTGGAATTTTTGAGTAAAAGTGGGTCAAACTCCAAGGTCAAGGTCAATTATCGTGGAACCCAAAGAAAGGTCTTGTCACAAGAAATACACATATGAAAGTCAAGGCTCCACTAAATCAAAAGTTATAGGCAACGTTAAAGTTTTCGCGGACAAGCAGACAGATAGAGAGCTATACAGACAGACGGACAGACACGACAAAAACTATATACCCCCCCCAAACTTCGTTTACGGGGGCATAAAAATATGGGATGACATTGAATGTATTGTGTACGTCATCCGCTAATGTAAAATTGGGGAAAAATAGTTCAAATCTTCAAAAGCATGAAAACAATAAGCATCGAATTATATTTTTGATAGCATGACATATGAAGGGTATGAAGATAAGGGACAGTATTAAATATAGAAGTCTATAAAACAATAGAAATGATGAGCAGAGCAAACAGGGACCTCAAAACATCAAAAGTCGGATTATAGTAAAAGTTAAACATGAGTAAATTACATTAATTCATGCTTAATTCTTTATATAAAAAATATTGTAGCTTTCATAGCTAATTGACTTTAGAGAAGAATAAATGAAAGAAAAAAATAAGTCATAATATTTCAAACATATCACCATTGTCCCCCTATTCCCTGCAAAACTTAATCCATAATTATCCCCTAAGCTGTAATTTAACTTTTGTCAAAGGAATTAAATAAATGATGAAGCGTGTAATTAGATATATCCATCATTTACATTCACGAACTTCAACTGTTAATGATAAACTAGAGCTCAAAGGAAAAAGAATATTTGTCTTCAAACAAATCAACATTTGAACATTTGTCAGCCTTCATACAAAGGCAATCACATACTAACAAGTTTAATATATAAATTCATTTTGCTTTGCTTTATTCGTTTTACCCTTTTTCCATTTGTTTACACTGTTTTGTTTAAATGAACTGTATTTCTTGATATTCAAAAAAATTATTGTTGCAAGAATTCAGAAGTCAAAGTGAAATACGGGCATTAAATCTCATACCATGTATGGATTTTTGTTTTAGATTAAACCAAGTTCAAAATTTTGATTTGATTTTTCACATTCATGATTCATATTTTATTAAACCTCAGAGAACATTTTGTGTACTTTTGGAATAAAAAGTCAATGTTTCCCTCACGATCACGCAAAAAATGTTAAACAGCGTTTGTCTGAAAATTTGTCAATTTCACACTATATGGTTCATTCGATTAGAAAACATTTGTCGAAAGTACGATTTTGTCCAAGTATGGTTTTATTCTAAGGTTCAATCTTAAAAATCTAAAAATCTAAAATTAAAAATCTAAAAAATAAACCATGAAATATATGTCTATGGAGATAACAAACAGTATTTGAGCTCAAAAGTCCATTAAACAATCTGAAATAGGAGAAGAAAAAACACAGATCTCCAAAGCATCAGAAGTGGGATCAGGTTCCATTACAGGAGTGAGCATCCCCTGCCAACCGGTCACACCTGTCGTTTGCTCCTTGTCATCATGATTGAAAAATAGCAGAAAAAGCTGCTGTAAATTCAGCGTATGAATAATATGGTCTAATAATTTGTATGAAAAACGTCAGTCAGCATTTGACTCAATGATAAATTATACCCGCACTTTCGAAAGAAAGTTCGGGTATATTGTTGTTACTCATGTCCGTCCGTCCGTCTGTCACACTTTTCTTCCCTGAACTCCTCCTACATTTTTCACAGTAGCTTAATCATCCTTTGGGAGATGGTTGGGGGTGTCATGTAGATGTGCAGTAAGGTTTCGGAATTTTGATTTTGCCCCGGGGGATCAAATGGGGGTCGAAAAATGACGTTTTTTATACAAAAAGCCCCTTCTTCCCTGAACTCCTCCTACATTTTTCACAGTAGCTTAATCATCCTTTGGAAGATGGTTGGGGGTGTCATGTAGATGTGCAGTAAGGTTTCGGAATTTTGATTTTGCCCCGGGGGAT